CGCTCCAGTTGTTTCCATAGGCTGTCCACTACTGCCGGTGCCGGAGGTTTCAGCGATGGTTGAAGCGCCGGCGCTGATAGACATACGCCGGACAGTGATGTCGACGTCCCGGTGCTCAGCACTCGCCAGTCGGCGAGCCTCGAGGTAGCCGTCGATGTCAGGGTTGGCTCGATATTGATGCTCTCGGAGCACCTCCACCAGCGCCCAGGGATGTGTTGGCATTACTGTTGAGATTGTAATGCAATTTAATAATTATTTTACTGAAAATTCTGTATATTTTTGGCACAGAATTTAAATTTAATGTCAATTTTAATAGCAGTTAGCGTTAAGTGACTTACGATTGGTGTGATCCGTGTCTACACACTATCGATGACTTGGGATTGAGCTGTGAATGTGTGCACACTATCGGGAGTTGACTGTATCGGGTGTTAAGCTCTGGACTACCGGTTAAACACAATTAAAAAAGTTTGAAAAAAAAATTAATTTTTTTAATACCATTTATGNAATTAAAAAAGTTTGAAAAAAAAATTAATTTTTTTAATACCATTTATGACTATAAAAAACTTACAGTTTGTTTGGCAGTGAATTATAATCACTAGTATTGAGGCTTATAGTGAACTAGTGTTCACTGTATACGGTGTTCAGTCTATTTGGCACGAAATGTACTGTAAATAGTGGATTAAAATGAAATTATTTTTTATACACCATACAAAAACAATATTTTAAAAATAAAATTATTAGTTAAGATATTTTTAGTAAAAATTAAACTAATTTACTAAACTATTATTTAACTAATTTATAAAAATTATTCACAGTATTAGACATTAATTAATAATATAAACTAGTTTGAATTATTATACATCCAGTGAAAGTAATTTATAAAATAAACTATTGATTAGATTACACTTTAAATACAAACATACAGTTTATATGACAGTCAATACAAAGTTATAAATTGTTTATAAAACATGTTTCAAAACTATAAACTTATAGAAAACTAGTAACTAATCAATTAAACACACTATTAATTACACAATTAATAAAAATATTTCTCAATAGTGTACACAATTAGCACATAATAACCCCACACAGTATAAGCTAGCATAAAATGGCCGGCCTATCGAATAGGGGACTCTATGGTGTACTCGATGTTCACTATACTAAATGCTACACTAAAATCTCGATACATACAAAATATTTCTCACCAAAAATGACATAAAACACGAGTAATATTATACGAAATCAAACAAAACATATCCTGAAGAAATAATTAATACATTAATCACTACTTAATAGATAAACACATTATTAGCGCTTAATGTGTAATACGATTACAATGTGTTATCGAAAAATATAAAAATAGTATACCGTTTCGTATACAAAAAAAAGAAAATTATGTGATAAGCTCATTTAACAACAATTAACTAATTAATGTGGTAAGCTCATTTAATTAATTAATTAAAATACACTTACCAGGATGATGTGTAAATGTTGAGCAAAAGGTCCCATACATAAATATTTGGCACAAATTGACACTTAATAAACCTTGATGCATAAACCTTAATAAACTAGGGACTATCACTAGCAGTGATTGAGCTACAGGTGCGACCATCCAGTTCACAGTCCAATACACGAATGACAAGTTTTTATAGAGAGGACCCACCAGTGCCTCCGTTGAACACCGACTTGAGATACCAGTGCACTGTTCGCTCGTTCGCTCTCCCTTTCCCTCCAAACGTAGGCTATCCCTATGCACGAACAGTATGGTCGCCCCTGACATCCATGTGCCTGCAGCTGATCACCCGTACTGACAGCGTTTGGCATCCCTTTACCCACACCCCTACCTACCACTCGCAATCACACCATATGAATATCAGGTGTTTCTGTGAGTGAAATGCTTTAAGAATAGTCTGGAATACCGGTGCTCTCGCACTGGAAACCCACGTATTATATCAGATTAGCTAATAGCTACTGTTCCCTTTATGATACATACAAAATTCAACTAGCGTATTATTAATTCTAAAAATATAACAGAGGGTTTTACTTAGTTACATATTTTTATATTAGCATACTAATATTTAATTAAAGTATAATAATGATTAATTACACGCATGCTTGTTTAATTTTAATATAATGTTCATTATACAGAGAGTTTACTGTAGTTATCTATGTTTTTGTGTAATAAACAGTGATTTCCCATACATTTTAACATAACTGTGCGCTCTATTAGTCCAATGAGAAACTACCAGTGCAGTGAGACACTGTATTTTGTTTCATGAGAGCACTGGTAGCTCGCGTTTGAAGGCTATTGAGCCCAGGGATGTCTGATAAGTAATGCAAACGTTTGTATAACGTATTCGTAACAAAAGTATTGATATTTTGCTATATACTACTAGTTCAGGTAGTTTATGCTATTTATAAATTAGCAAATATTATAAGCATGATTAGTTATATTTTGTAATCAATTAATTTGTATTAATTAAATACTAGGCTCTCTCTCTCTCTCTCTCTCTCGTTTGTTTTTATATTACTCTCTCGTTCGCTCTCTTACTCTTTTATTGCTCACTCGTTCATTCAATTATTACATTTATTCTCTATATTTTATTATTATTTTTGCAAAAATCATAATAACTAGTGAAACAATAGTAGAGAACAGCGAAACTATAGCTTAATATTCAAGAAAATCTATTTTTACTGAAAAGTGAACGCTTTTGTGTGTTTAGAGAGATGCAGTAATTTGGCACAAAAATGCAAGATTTATATCAAATCTAATGCTTTTTATGTGTTTCACTGATGAATATGTCGACAAATATAAGAAACAAATTATAATATATTTATATCAATGGCTCGCATATATTTATAGTATAAATTTTATACTATTGTTTTTATATTTGGATATACTGTATATACTTTACAGTAAATCATGTTTACAATGCAAATAGGTTAGCGTATTGTAAATGTTTTATTAGTGATTTTATATTTCAATTTGAATCTCGTTTCTGTATTTTCGTTTGAATTTCTATTTACAATATTTTTAGTCAATTTTGTGATAAAAATTCATTTTTATCCGAGAATAATATTTACTTCAAATCTAATATATTATGAGCGAATTATATTGACTTAAATAATATAGGTTTGTATGAAATCTGGGAAAATAAAATTAAAAAGAAAAATGAAAACTACTCCGATGAGATTTATAATATAATGCATTCAACTCTCAAAATGGAAATCAAAATGCTTTTGATAAACCGTTTTTCGCCCATTTATTGAACAATTTTCATTTTTATCAATTTTATATATTATCTATGTTTATGTGAATGCTAATAAATATGAAATAATTCCCTGAATCCACTATATTTATAGCTGTAAGAAAGTGGTGTGATATCTAAATATCATGGTCGGTTTGTCATTTGTGGTGATAATTATCAGGTTCATCGCATCATAATGACGACACCACTATTGCGATCGCAATCTCATTACACAATGTGATGGCAATCGTGGTGTACTGTTAGGTTGTCCAACATTTATATAAACAAAATGAACAACAAAAAAGGGTTGGGTGTATAATTTTATTTTTACACGTCGTATACATAATAATATTATAAATAAAGAATAATGTAATGAAATATTCTGTTCACGGCATCGGAAACATTGGGGATACCAAACCTCATAACGACAGTTCCCTTCCTATAAATGCAACACTATTATGGCTTTTATGTGTATATATTGTGATGAGTTGTCACCAAAATGATGCTCTTTTTATTGATATTTTAAATACAATGAATGACAGTATAGGGGAATATACTGTATAATACAGTGCATGAGATTTAATGTGATTAACAAACAAAACACTTATTGCCAAAAATACACTGAATAGATAACATCTGATTGTGAGTCCGACTAATCATAAAATGCATGGAAAAGAGCCAATCAATTGAATTCAACGCATAGTTTGGATGCCTTCCTATCAGTGAAGACATTGGATTGCATTAACTTTATGACAGCAATGAGACGTCACTGAGATTTTAGGCCTCACTTCGTGTGTCCACAGAATCACTGAGTTTTTAGATAAGGAATGCATTGAAAAGAGAATTCACTCAAAATCTCTCTCTCTCTCTCTCTCTCTCTCTCTCTCTCTCTCTCATAATATTTTGCCAGCGATTAGAATATACATATAAATATATAGATATCGAGAATTGCTGCGATTTGTTGTGGTTTTTGTCGTCTATTTTTGGACCCAAAAATCCAATTTCTTAAGTGATTCTTATAAAAAAAACGTGAAAAAACAGGTCAGCGTTTCTTGGGCTACCGTTCCCTCTGTGTCGATGACAAACCAATGATATCTTTATTCAAATGAGTTGTGTTTCTAACTATAAAATTGATTTTTTTTCTCGACTGTTGTTTCTCTTACAGACACATTACGTAAACTTTCCAAAAATTATTTTTACTTAAATTTTTCTTAATAAGTAAATAAATAACTTTATTTTTATTAAAGAAACTTATTACTCAAAATCGATAAACAACACGTATATAATATACTATTTATCGATAGAGACTATTTATCAAGTTTTGAATATAAATCATATATTTGTCTGATTTTGATTGCATTTTCTTTTATTTATTCATTTTTTGAAAACAAGATTTCTTTGAAAATTTTATAATAAATTTCATTTTTGTCATTTTCTTATACCCAGAGTATCATTGGATACGAAATTCAATAATAAATAAATTTCTATTTTATATCCGAGATGCTTTCATATAATTTGTCGATTCACTAAACTATGTTATATTTATGTATTATATATAAAACAATAGACATTTTATGGACAGATTTCTAAATAAATAAATACAATGACAATGAATAAACTGATTAATAGCTTGTACAAACATTTATTTTAAACATTTTAATAAATTATTTAAACAATTGCATAATTTATAAATATGTTGAGATTTTCAGTTTTAGATGAATTGATTTTGAGATTTTGCCAGAATTTATTATTATACTCATAATAAGTTATATATTTTTACTTAACATTCAAATTAAAATTTGGCTAAAATTTATTAAAATATTCCCAATATTTTATGATTAATTACATTCATTTAATTTTATGAATTCTTTACCGCTTCTCATTTTTCTATATCACAAATATGTTATTAATATATTAATGTTTTTTATTATAAGAATTATAATATATTTGCATTTTTCTATTATATAATAGCAATTTATCTAGCGCTATATTATACTATATACATATTATCACTGTTTAAGATAAAATAAAGTAATATAATAAAAGTTATATCTAAAGAGTTTCACTTAATTTGTGATAAAATTCATTAAACCTCTTAATTAAAGAAAATTTTTGATTAATTTGTTTATAAATTTAAAGAATTTTTTCTATTACACATTGATTAGTTGCAATCATTAAATTAAATTCATTATCAGATATAAAGCTATAATAAATTGCTTATTTATTTATATTGTCATTAGTTATACAACAGTTAAAGGAGTGTGTGCCTATAACGCCGTGTCTACCCTTTTGCCTCAATTTATGCATTTATTTATTTTATATTTTTATCTTTTGCTATCAATCCTACAAGAAATCATTAATTGTGTTGATCTGAGAGAGATGCTTTCATATAATTTGTCGATTCACTAAACTATGTTATATTTATGTATTATATATAAAACAATAGACATTTTATGGACAGATTTCTAAATAAATAAATACAATGACAATGAATAAACTGATATTGTGCACAACCTGTCTATAAAAAATGTAATTTAATGTTATGTTATGTTTATGGTGTGGCATTAGAATCATCAATGAGAGAGAGAGAGAGAGAGAGAGAGAGTACAACTTTCTTTTGACAATAGCTATGTGTCTGAAAGATGTTTAACTAATTGTTTCGTAAGCTACAGTATAATGAAATAAATAATACATTGTTATGAATGCCGTTCACAAACTCCTCTGTGTATAACTTATTGTCTAAGAAATCATACCTAAGAACTTTGATCATCCCTCACATCTACCAAAACTTTTGCTCATTTTGTTTGTTTTGCCCCAAAAATAGTTTCAGTTACTGAGTAATGTGTACACAAATGTGAACATTAAATAATTATATAAATGTTGTATTATTACGTAATAAATTTTATTTAAGATATTTTTATTTATACATATATTTTAATTAAGTTTAGGATTTCTTAGAAGTATATTAACAATGTTTTTTGTTTCTAGAGATTAAGCGAAACCTTTAATTGAGTATTTGTTTAAGTATTTAGAAATAAATTGAGTCAATAAATGTGAACACATTTGGCGGATATTATGTCCAAATTATTCTCTAAATTATATTTTAAATCCCATGTAATTGTAAACACAAAACACTATTTTATTGCTTCAATTCAAGTCACAAGTACTCCACTCACTCGCAGAGGAAAAGCATTTTTAAATCACATTTTAATACAAATGCATTAAATTATTCATTTAGACATTTTTGAAAAGCGTTTGGAAACGAGAATTGCTTTTTATTTATTGTGTTTTTGTTTTAATTTCAGTTAAAATTTAAGTTTTAAAAATCATATGAATGAATGAGTGATTGCATGGTATGACACAATAACAGCAC